ATCAATCCTGGGATATTTTTGTTCTGGGATAAATACAGACACAATTTATCCAGGGATAAATGCAATGTCTGTTCCTAGCCTATGTGAAGGTGCTTATACCCTGTGATCAAGTCACTTCCCAATCTCTTTGATAAACTAAGCTCAGGGAGCTCTTGAACTTTCCCACCATAAGGCATTTTCTTCAGCTCTTGATTCATTGTTTGTGGTGCATTGTTGCACCCTCTCCAATTTTGCAGCATCCTTTTTAAAATGCAGACACCAGCACTGGACCTAGTAGACCAGTATCAGTTTCCCTAACATCCCATAGAGATGCACAGTCATCCCTCCCATACTCCCTTACTGCTCAGCTCTCTAGAGCTCATGTCATATTCCTTGTCCATGATGTCCATGATCCTCATGTCAAAATGTTTGTCTGTTTTAGGTAGATCAGAACAGAATCTCATCTCTCCTATCTGTACAGAGCTAATAGGAAGAGATAGCAGCGACGAAAACATTGCTGACAATGACAATCAAGTGATATTGTTCTCCATCACATTAGGGAGCAGATCTCTCAAGTTTAAAAATGTCATCTTAGGATTGTTGGTTGTAGCCGTGTTGGTCTATGGACAGGCAGACAAGGTTCTTTGGAGAGATGTGCTATCTTTTATTAGACTAACTAAATAGTTGGAAAAATTGTTCTTTGCAAGATTTCAGGCACAAACACCCTTCTTCAGGCATAGGGAAAGTCTGTTGGGGCTCATGTACATGCCACGATTTTTGTCCTTTCATGCACTGCAACTGCGTGTCTGTTTGCACGAGTGTGATTTAAAAGTCTTTCTTGTGTACGCAAAGGCACTCAAGGACATGTAATGAGCCTTTTTTTCCACCAGATGGCACTGTGACTTTTTTGTAGTTCACCCCTTCCAATTGCTTTCACTGTCAAATTGCTTCTGCTTTTTTTTTCCTTGTGTGGTTTGCTGGCTCCCTGCTTCCATAGCTACATGGTAGGGCACAGGCATGGGGTGGGTGGGGGGCCCCAGGCCAGGGGCGCAGTGCTGCACCATCCCACTCTCCTGCAGCACCAGCCAGGGACCTGGCTAAGTTCATCTGAAAACCTAGTGTGTGTAAACACAGATGCGATGCTCCAAAATAAACAAGTTTAAATTTTATAAATGTATTTAATGAGGATTAAAACCCATGGTGTGTACAGGAACCCTTGGTGGTTGTGTCCTCTCCTGGGTAGAATAGAAGCCAAAATGCAAAATGCAGGTCTGTGAAAATGCAAATGTGTGACAGTAAGTTTCAAAGGGAATGGGAGACAATGGATGTGAAAAGGTACTGGGGGTGGGAGGGGGGAGAGGGGTTATGGAGAGAAGGGGAAGAAATTGATCAAATGTAGCTGGTAAAATGCAGGCAGGTTAACAGGGGTTATCAGACGGTAGGCAGGTTATAATATGCCATAAATCCAAAGCCTATATTTAGTCCATGATTTTTTGTATCCAGTAGATTGATGAAGTGAAGTTCATAGGCTCATCTGTGACAGATGTTTTGTAAATTCCCTTTGAGGATTAGTACTGAGAGATTTCTTTTTGTACTGCAGCAATTCTTCACATGGTATCCAGGTGGCTCTTTCAAAAGTGCGATCTGTCTCTTTGGAGGAGTGTCCTTGTTTGCAGGAAAGCCCTTTTGAGATTTGCGAGGAGACAATCACAGGTGTTCTTCTCAGTGCAAATTGGTGGTATTGGAGGACTTGGCTGTAAATTACAGTTTTCTTGGTGTGTTTAGGGTGATTGCTGGTTCTGTGTAGATATGTATGTTGGTCTGTGGGTTTCTTGTATATGGTGGCTTGTATTTTACCATTCTGGATATTGATCATGGTGTCTAAAAAGGAAATGTTGGTGCTGGAACAGATAGTCTGATTGATGGATGATTATTATTGAATTTGTGAAGGAAATCAATCAGAGATTTCAGGCTTTTGGTCTAAATGATGACGCCGTCTATATATCATGGGTTTGATGATGCAGTTCTTGAGGAATTCTTTTTCTCAGTGGACCACAAAAAGGTTGGCATATTGTGGGGCCATTTTGGTGCCCATTGCAGTGCCCATGGTCTGGAGGAAGTGTTGATTATTGAACGTGAAGTTGTTGTATGTGAGGATGAAGTGTATAAATTCAGTAAAATCTTTAGGTCTGTACTCTGAGTTGTAATCTTGCTCCTGTAGATATGTAAGGCAGGCTTGGATCCTATCCTGGTGTGGGATGTTGGCATATAAGATGGTACCATCCATGGTGGCTAGGAGGATATTGCTGGGAAAGCAGTCTATGTTTTTAAGTTTTCATACTGTTGGAAATCTGTTGTGTCTTGGACAAAACTCGGTCTTTGGGTGACAGGAGGTTTTAGGATGGAGTCGATGAAATCTGATATTGCCTCAGTTTAGTTGGACTGAGGATCCATGGTTGGATATTATAGGTATGCCTGGGTTTCCTTGTTTATAGATTTTAGGGAGCATGTAAAAAGTCCCTGGATTGGGTAGTGGGGGGTCAAGTTCTGTAGTTTTTCTTGTAGTTCAGATGGAAATGATGTGATGGTAGTTTTGAGTTTTAAGGTGAAAAATGGCATCTTTACACTATCATGTTCAGAAGTGTAACAAATTAATTTCTGGACCCTGGGTGGCAGCAGCAGCTGGACTGACAGTGGTGGCAACTGTCATCATCAGCTGTCATTGTTACACTCACCCTAAGTCACTACCCAGGGCTGGTGCCCCATTCACCTACCCCTAGTCATTAGGGCAGTCCCTGATTGGATTCGGCGGAGATTCGGCCCAATTCGGTGGCCGAATCTCTGAACCCGAATCGAATCAGAGGGCCCTTTAATCTTTCTGAATTAAATCGGAATCCTCCGAATCGATTCGGCGATTCAGACCTAGACGCAGCTTTAGTTTTTTCTACATATCTCTAGGTAGCAGGCGGCTCGTGAATGCTACAATGCTGGTGCACATGGAGCGTCCCACAGAAGCACGGGGGGGTCCCCAGTGCACTTGGCAGCAGACCTGGAAGTGGACCAGAAGCATTTTCGGTCCACTTCCAGGTCTGCTGGGGAGCGTGCTGGAGGGCCCCCCCATACCCCGCCCCCCTGGCTCGGTGACTGGTGGCTCCTGGGTCTGGGGGGGGCACCCGGGGTCCCCACGTCTGATCACTGAGTCAGGGGGCTGCAGTGGGGCCCCGCAGCACACTCCCTGGTAGAACCGGAAGTGGACTGCAAGTACTTCCGGTCCGCTTCTGGGTTCGCCACTGAGCACATGGGGGATGCTCCGTCTGCCCCACCATCACAGCGTTCACAAGCCGTGCTGCTACCTCAGAAAAAACATTTCTACATGTCTATGTCCGAATTGCCGATTCTTCGAATCAGCATCGAATCTTCAGATTCACAGTTGACTGAATCAAATCAGGGACAGTGATCCGAATCAACAAATCGAATCACTGTCCCTGATTCGGGCCGAATCTGAATCCAAATCGAATAGGGCCCGCTTTGCACATCCCTACTAGTCATGCTACCGGTTGTGTTTTTTATCATATCAGCACTTTGGGGGGGGCAGCAAAGAGAGGAAGGAACTCCTGGACGCGAGGAACAGTTTGGAGGAAGATCCAAAGCAGAGAGAAGAGAGGAGGTGGCTTGGAGGGTGACTAATAGTTGAGAAGACAACAGGGGACTGGTATGGTAGGAAATCAGAGTCAAGGTAAGGCAGAGGCCATTTAGGAGAGGCCAAAAACCTCTGACTTGGAGGGGTGGAGACAGGAAGGCAGTGGATGACCCTGCCTTTTTTGCAATCACATTATGAATTCAATAATTCTTTGTTTCCAAAGGACTGCAGAGAGCCAGACTGCCGGCAGAGCTGGCTCAGGTGCCTGCGTAAGAACTCAGAAAACAAACACTGGATCTTTCTTTGATCAAAGCCCATGAATACTGTTTACAGCTATGTAAATACCACTCTGTTCCACTTAAATTCCCTGAACCAAAACTTCAATCTTGGTCTATTTATCACTGTCTTGTGGCAAATCTTTACAAAGTTCAGCCAATGCAAAGCTTTCCGGAGGGTCTCTTTTTTTGCCAACGGTCTCACGTGCAAATAAAACAAATAAGAAATGTAAACAGGCGAGTAGAAGGAAAGTAATGTTTCACGCCTGGTGAGAGAGACTCCTGCTGGGAGACATGAAGTTAATGCTGGCATTTGAGCTGGACTAGAAACCAGCACTGATGTTATCTTTCTGCAGGAGCTGTCTTAGCCAGCTGCCAAAACAATAAAATATGATGTTTCTAAGGATTAATAATATTTTCCTAGTTGTGGTTAGTAACTGTTTTAATTTGCAGTTATGGTTAGATCTCATAAATGTCTCTTCTTTGATCCTTCTGAAGAGAAAAGAGCTACAGCCTTCTTCTCTTCCCAAGCCATGCCTCAGAGAGTTGAGTCCGGAGAGGTTCTGCTAGCTTCAGCCCACATCACAAAACCTCCACTACCTTTAGGCACTAACCGTCCCCTTGTAATCTCTGCAAAGAGGCCAGCGGTGCATGAACTCTTCTTTAACTTTTATCCTGACCCTTCAGACTAAGGATGAAGGACCTTGAAGGAGAGAGAAAGAGAGGAGGAAGTGAGGAAATCTGCGTTGCTCCTGCCCGTGCCACAGTTATCCCGTGGACAAGGAGGTCCACATTCTTCCTGGTTGTCTGACTGGGGCTTCTCAAGGGCACTCCGTTCACTAAAAAATAAAGCCCTAAATAAAGGGTGGAGTTGCCAAGCGGACCACTAACAACCTTGATCAGTATGAATTGCATAAATGAACCAATGTGGATTTCTCCTGACTTCCGCAGGATCCAGATGGATCCCACCTGTAGGAATCAGATTGCAGAACTTGCAGAGCAAGCAGGTCGTTTTTCAAGCTGATTTTTTTTTTTTAGCCGGGGATAGGCTGAGTCGCCTCTGTGTGTTCAACCTTACTTATTTTGGTTTTTCTCTTCCCTTATAGGTATTTGAAGAACGAAAAGCCCTGCTTGGAAAATGGGTAAGCTTTTCTCTTTAAATAAAAGTTAGTTTCAGAACTAATCAGGGGATGAGTGGGATGGGAATTTTAAGTACGTTTCCTGTTTCACCTGAGGAGACTAGTTTTCTGGATGGAAGGGTGAGAAACACAAGGGCTGGACTACTGAACCTCTGATGGGAACGTAAAGGGACAGATTTTTTCCTGGCATAGTTCCAAAGAAATCATGAGCTTGAGTAATCTGGTCTGTTTTTTAAAAGTAAAAATGGGGTTGGAAGCCCGAAGAAAAGTCTGTAGAAAAAGTGTTGAGAAGGTATCTGGCAGACAAGTTGCTAACACCCCCTAGCAACTTAGACAGATATCAGGAAATCTGATCTATTTTATTAGATGCATTCAGTATTTATATCCTGCAATTGTATACCGCCTACTATATATACTGATATGCTGGAAATAAATTATTCCGATGATCTACTTAATGTCTTTAGGAACATGGGTGTAGAAGGGACATCCCAGGTGACTGAGTTCAGATCCCTGCTATTTTACATACCCCATAATAAACTTAATGAGTTACATTTTAAAAGTAATTAGCTTTTACCTCCACTGTTCCTACTGGGGACTGTCCCAGAACCTCACTGCCCATGGTCAGGAACCTTCTTTTAATTTCCAGCCAAAATGTATTCAAAGCGAGTTGATACTCATTTGTTCTTGTTCAACACTGTCCTTTAGTTTAAGTGATTTCCCCCCGCCCCCACGTGCGTAACACCCCCTAGCAACTTAGCTACCTCACATTGGCAGCACACAGTCCTCTGCTGCCCAAGGGTATACTCAGGCCATGCTTTCCCTCATTCATTTCCAACCGGTGAGCTCCCAGCGTATAGCAGAAGTTCTTATTATTACCCTTGTACTTGGCACTGTTCAGTGTCCTCCCGTTTCTGTTGCTCAGGTCCTCGTGTTGATCCAGTTCTTTCTCTTATGATATTCTGATCCTCCTTTGCACTTAACTTTATGTTGCAATTTTCATCACTGCGCTCCCACTCTGTGCCAAGGTTATCGATGAAAATATTAAGCAGTATTAGTCCCAAACATATCTTTGAGGAATTCCACTAATGACCTCTCTCCCTCCCTATTTACCCAGTTCCTTCCCTGCCTTACAATGCCTTTACTAGTCTCTGTCTTCTTTGGTACCTCCCATAATTTCCACCATAGTGCCATTTAACAGGCTTTACTGAATTACAGATAGGTGAGATACCTCCCTTCTTTTGCCTGGAAGACAAAGAGAAGTTTTCCCTAACCACCTGGCTTTGTGTTTGGCAAAGGTGGAGGCATTTCCCACTCTTCTATTCAACTTGGGCTGTGGTGTAGAAATAGGGTGACCATATGTTCCAGTTTGGCTGGAGCAGTCCCGGATTTCATAGGCCATCCTCACGTCCCAACTGGTTGGTGAGAATTGAAGTAAACGTTTGGTGCCACCCTACTCACACGTGCCTGGCCCAGCTCCTCCTGAGCAGGCTGGAGGCGGTGGGATGGGGTGGGACGAGCACTGCTGCTCCTGCCTGGGGCAGAGATTGGCCAGGGCAGGGCAGGCTGAAAGGGCTGGGGTCTGGGCACCTGCACGGAGCAACCCAGGATGGCGGAGCGGTGCAGGGTGGGACACCACTGAGGCCTGCAGTTGAGCCCCATCCTCTGTGTTCAGAAGCTAGATGTGGCTGTGAGCAACCCGAGTGGTGCTTCATGGGCGCCGCCAGCATGCACTGAGGGCACACACCACCTCTCCCTGCTGCTGAAGCCACTATCGAGGACCAGGCTGCACAACACAGCCCTGGGCAGCTGCCAGAGGGTGGTGGGGAGGCTCTGTGTGGTCACGCAACACAGGCTGGTGGAGCCTGGGGGCACTGCTCACGGGCTGCTCGCAGCAGGGCTCAGCCTCTGCATGTGGGGGTTGGAGCTCAGCCATGGGCCTCTGCACTATCCTGCACTGCTGCTCCACCATCAGGCTCCTGGGAGCCACAGGGTCGGGGCTGTGTGTGCATGCACGTGTGTGTCTGTACCGGAAAGGGGGTGTGGAGGCATGGTGTGCACACACATGCGTGTGTACATGTGTGTGCATATGCGTGTGACTCCATAGCCCAGGAATGAGCTCACCAGGACTCCTGGGTTCGCAGTGGGGGATGCCTGGTTTGTGAATTCAGAGGAGCTTGGTCAGGAAATAGATGCCAAGAGGCTCAGCTCAGCCAAGATGGCAGTGGATCTAGGCATGCCTACAAGGTATGTAAGGCACCTCACTGATGAAAAGGTGGGTGCCCACGGCCTTTCAGGTGCCTAAATGGCTAGTCAGGGATTTTATGTATCTCTCCCTAATACCACCTGACTTATACCTGCTCTAAGTGATAAAACGAGGCTCATACAGGATGTCCGTTGTAGAGGAATGCATTGAACCCACGGGCACAAATCCCAGATTCGCAGCCTAGCTACTGACCTGCCCTTCCTTTCTCCTCAGGGCCAGACTCAGTGAGTAGAAGCGTTCGGGGAGAGCGCCTGTAACATGCCCCATCTGAAGAGAGAGAGGAGAAAGATGTGAGACGGGAGCTTATGTCAGCGTGAGCAAGATAAGCAGCATGTGCCAGCCAAGCCCCACTGCAAGGGGCATGGCTAAGCACCATCAGGCACTTTGAAAATGCAGCTAGGCAAATAGGCATCAGGTACATGGCCACATGCGATACCCAAATCAAATAGAAACACACCGATGATGAGGATGCTTCTATCCACTCTGTTGTGATAGCTTGTGTTTGCCCAACGAGCCCATCGGTATAGCGCTGTGAATTCTGCAAGTTGGAAAGGTCACAAGTGTTGACATCTTTTGTGAATGAGCTGGTCTGTCGCAGGTGAACAACTTGTGTCTCAGCTCATTGCAGTCATTCACTAGTACAGGAGACAGGCCCTGCACAGCTGCTGGGCTCTGTGGGCACTGACAGCAAAGAATGTGCTGCAAGGTGAGAAGATGAGCAGGAGCCACAAGTGGCTGCTAGTGAGGTACTAGGAACATGTGCATTAACCTGTCTTAATAAGCATTAACTAAAGAGCAGAGTTTTTTTAGGGCATTTATACACATACTTTTTTGTCTCGTGATGCACCGGAGATCCTCTACTTTATAACAGACTTGATTGAGTCTGATCTGCACACCGCCATTTTCTCAGGGCTGACGCGCATTTTGCCACTTATACGACTGCAAGCATCACAGAGCCAGATGCTTGATTGTAAAAATGCCCTTAGTGATGCCTTAATGCACATTAAAATAGGCTAGACACTGTCTCTCACCCCATTCTCATTAAGAAATTAGGTGACTGTGGCATCGATGCCTACACAGTCAGATGGGTCACTAACTGACTGGAGGGCCGCACCCAGAGAGTGGTGGTGGACGGGTCTTTTTCGACCTGGAGGGATGTGGGCAGTGGGGTTCCCCAGGGCTCGGTCCTCGGACCTGCACTGTTCAACATCTTCATCAGCGACTTGGACGAGGGGGTGAAAAGCACCCTGTTCAAACTCACAGATGACACTAAGATGTGGGGGGAAGTGGGCACGCTGGAGGAGAGGGACAGGCTACAACTAGATCTGGACAGGTTCCAGGGGTGGGCGGATGAGAACAGGATGGGATTCAATACTGACAAGTGCAAGGTGCTGCACCTGGGGAGGAAGAACCAGCAGCAGACCTATAGGCTGGGGAACTCCCTTCTCGTCAGTGCAGAGGCAGAAAAGGATCTTGGAGTCATTAGTGATTCCAAGATGAACATGGGCCGACAGTGTGGGGACGCGGTCAGGAAGGCTAACCACCCCTTGTCGTGCATCCACAGATGCATCACGAGCAGGTCCAAGGAGGTGATCCTCCCCCTCTATGCGACACGGGTCAGGCCGCAGCTGGAGTACTGCGTCCAGTTCTGGGCACTGCACTTCAGGAGGGATGTGGCCAGCATGGAGAGGGTCCAGAGGAGGCCACCCGCATGGTCAGGGGGCAGCAGGGCAGGCCCTACAGGGAGAGGCTACGGGACCTGACCCTGTTCAGCCTCCACAAGAGAAGAGTGAGAGGGCACCTGATGGCTGTCTACAAACTGGCAAAGGGGGACCAACAGACCATGGGAGAATCCCTGTTCACCCGAGCACTACTGGGAGTAACAAGGAATAACGGCCATAAGTTGACCAAGAGTAGATTCAAGCTAGACATCAGGAAGCGCTACTTCACAGTCAGGGCGCCTAGGGGCTGGAACCAACTTCCAAGGGAAGTGGTGCTGTCTCCTACCCTGGGGGTCTTCAAAAGGAGGCTAGCTAGACACCTTGCCAGGGTCGTTTGACCTCAGCAACACCTTGCTGGGGTCATTTGACTCCAGCATTCTTTCCTGCCCATTGCAGGGGGTCGGACTTGATGATCTGCTCAGGTCCCTTCCGACCCTACCTACTATGAAACTGAAACTAATGTGCATTAAAGCTCACGTGTAGATGCACCCACTGGCTATTACTGTAGTTCAGCACGGGACAGTAGGGGAGCAGATACTATCGTTCTATCATGCACCTACAATAAGGTTGGAAGGGAATTTGAGGCATCTACTGCAGCCCCCTGCACAGATGGCCACCTAGGATGGATACACCTCAACAGGTGTAACTTACACCAGGTGAGTTTTACCCCTGGTTCTTTCAGGGTCAGTTCTCCACTACCTTGGGTGAAGTTGTCCCAGTGTGTTATCTGTCCACTTCTTCTTTATACTGGTGTGATGCTGGTTACTGTGGTGGAAAAGTGTCACCTGTCCAGGCTCTCAGAGAGCAAAGCTAAAATGATCCCTCTCCCTCCTTCCATTTTCTTTAGCTTCAGGCACATGGAAACAGCAAACTCTGCAGTAGGCAGAGGATATTTTACACAAAGCCTTAAGGTTGTGTCTAAATTAAGCTGGCAGTAGGCACCACGGGCAGGGCAATGATAGCATGTTCTTGTGAATGCCACCCTGCTCCTCATCTTCACCAGGCTGTGAAATCTGTCATCCCCTCCCTCTCCAGAGTGATGTGCCTTTCCATCTACATAGCAATATGAATAGCCAGGAAAGTGAATTCTCCTTAATGGAGAGATCGCTCTGCTTTCCCAAATGAGGCCCAGGGTGCTATTAAAATCCAAATCTTTCAAATCTTGAGGGTGTGGTTCTCCACTCTCCAAGCACACTGGAGACAGGTGGAGGATAGGAGCTGGGAGCTAGTTGCATGGGGGGGTTCAGTACCAACCATCTCCCTGTACTTTAAGACCACTGTACACTGTTTTGTGGCACAAAGTAGCCTTAGTGGACCAGAGAATCCAGTTCTAGGTTTACAGGGTGCGTGGTCACTTTGTGTGCATGTGATGGTAACACCTATGAGCAAAAGCCTTCAGGTCAGTTGTTGGTTTAGTGCTAATGAAGCTGTCTCTTCCTCCTGGTTGGATCAGTGACTCCACCTAGGGAAAGGAGGTCCCTTTCAGCTGAAGCGATCCCTTGCTCCTTGGTGGTAAAGGTCAGGGGTTCATTCACTCCTGGCCCCTGGCAACATGTCCACTGAGGCTGTACATTTACTAGGCAGTGTCCAGTGTAGCTTCATGTCACTGCCCTTTGCAGAGCTCAGAGAAAGACACAGAAAAGGGGAAAACTGACGTTAGCAGCAGTTACAGACACGGCGTGGCATCTCGCAAGGAATAACTAGTTAAACTAGTCGGATTAATGTGATCAAATATAAGGGGAGGCTCCATAGAGAGAGGTAGGGCTGTGCTTGCTAATAGTGAAAGAAGAGACGCATTAAATATGCTTAACTGTTTGGCTGCTGGATATACCCCTTGGAAAAGACGCTGCCCTCTCCCTGTGCTGCTGAGCGCACTGCATTGATTTTGATGGAATATGCATCTCTGGGGCACCCATCAGCGAAGTGACTCCAGGGATAATGCAGTTTAGCTCTATTCCAAACACGACACATGTGAAGGGTTAAGAGCAAATATGCTCATCTATTAAAGGATTGTTTCAGTTACTTCAGCCTAGCTGCTGGTGAGGAAGACAATAAGCTAGCCACCTTATCTCTGTTACTTGTGTTGGACAGAGATTTACCTTTGGTAAATTGCCAATTATTGATGGTTTCGTCATCTCAGAGGTGTGTTTTTATAGGGCCAGACTTTGAAGTCTTTCTTAATTTTTCCTTAGTACTCTGGCAATCTCCTGCTAATGATAACAGTGACATACAAAAGAGGGAAACGGGTTTGTTCCTTGCCTTGCTTTTTCCTAATGAATAAAAAAAACTTTAACATTTGGAAGGTGCTCCTTGTTTTTTTGTTTTTACCTAAGGCTACTAAGTTCAGGAATGCCAGTTCTTTCATGGTTTTGCTGGACATGTTTTTCAACATCTTTGAGATGTGTTTGGGAGTAGTAGATTTATTTAATCGTTAACAAAGAAATGCTTCCTACCAACTGATTCTTAGGTACTTGAATTAAATAAATGTCATTAATAATCAACCTGAAGAAGAATGTCTTGCGTTGAAAAGCTTGTCTAGCTGCATAGTTGGTCCAATAAAAAATATCACCAGGGAAAGCTGGGTAGATGAGATTTGAACTTTTACTGGGAAAAACCAGCAGGAAAAACTACTAACTGCGATAGGTCCAGGCTTTCTTTCGCCATCACAAAGAAACAAAAAAGGGAATAAATCTGTTTTATTTTCTTGGAGGTACCCTGTGGTACGGCTCCAAGGAAGAGGCCATGGCCCTGGCTACAGAGGAAGGCAAAACCCCCCACAGCCCATTCCAGTCTGGTACCTTTAGACTCCATGGGAGTTATCTAAATGCACAAGGATTTTCTCCATAAAGAAGATGCTGTCAACGATGGGTAGGGGGCGTGCTGAGAGCAGCTGTGCACGGTTGGATTATGGGGCCTAGTTAATACACTTAGAAGAAATAAATAAGGGAAAACAGCACTCCAAGAGCAGCACAGAAGAGCTAGGAGGGTTCGCTTCCATTGAATGCAATACAGCTAGCAGGCCTTTGCCTGCAGCTAGGAATGGGGTTGTGGTGATCAATTCAGAAGGAGGCAAGTGGGATTTCAGCTCAAGCTGCTGTCTTGAATTGTTGTATTTCAAGTGAGCACTGGCTCTGGAGGGGACAGCCACTGCTGCCAACTGCAGGCAGAATGGTCTCCCTGGGTGTTTATGCACGTGCTTCGGGGTGGGGTGCTTTAATTACAGCGGCTCCAAGAGCTCCTCCAATTAAAGCACCCAGAGCATCTTGTGTATCAGCGTCCCTGCACTTAAAAATGGCAGCAGGGACGCTGATACATGAGACCCTGGAGTCTGCTGGAGCATGGTCATGATCACGCTCCGGCAGACTCAGTTAATTACAGCGCATCAGAGCAGCCTTGCTGCTCGTGTATAGGCACCCCCAGTGTTTTTCCTAGTCTTAGCTCTGTCCTCCTAGAGGGTAGTAGTCGTACATGCATACAGAGTGCAAAGCCCACTGGTGATCCCTGGAGGCTCCTGTTCCCTTCCAGGTTTTACTGCCTGCACACACAAAATGTCTTTTATTGCTATTGCTGCATCACTCTGTGTGCACATCCCTTGCCCAGAGCTGTTGACATAGAGTATAATCATGGCCCCTATATCCAGAAATACAGGATCATTTGACTGTGTAAATACACCCTTCCTCATACAGATGAGACCAGAGTACTTTAACCCTCTTCACACACATTGTGCTGGAAAGGCTGAGAAGAGGTTGGTTGTGGTTGGCTGGGGATGCAGGTTGAGTTTGTGTTCTGCCACAGATTTGATGTGTGAGTTCCTTTCTTTGGCTCAGTCCCCTTGGAAAATGATGGCGATAATAATATTTCCCTAGTGCTCAGGGCAGTTGTGTGAATAGCCACGCTAAGGCCCACAGGGCACTTGGGCACTGGTAATTGGGGCTATATAGTTACCGGGGATGTATAGGAAACATCATTCTCACTCAGGCTGCTGTCCTACAATCACCTATGTATCAAATGTCTTTAGTTCCAGGAGTAGTCCTGTTGAAGGTAACACTTCGGACCACTCGTGAGAGTAAAGAGCCCAGGATTGGGCCCATTTCATATCTGTGAAGGTTTTGTCTCATGTGCTGCAGGGTTCTGCAGTTTCTTCTCATCCAACCTTTCTGTTTGCCTGTGATTTCCACCTGCTTTGCCTGGGAGTGGGTCACCAGAAGCAAAAGCTCCCTTACCCTGCCTGAGGCCTTACCCCCTTCCTTTGCACAACCTGAAACTCCTTCTTTCAGTTTGACAAGTGGACAGACAACCAGCGGCGGAGGATCCTGGTGGACCTGTTCCAGCGCTGCTCCCTGGCGCAGCAGAAATTCTGTGTGAAGCAGCTGCAGGAGCGGGTGCCCGTCGAGGCCCTGGACTTCACCACTCAGCTGCCCAGAACACTGTCTTTGTACGTCTTCTCTTTCCTGGACCCCCGGAGCCTCTGCCGATGTGCGCAGGTAAAAGGCAGCACAAACCTGCAGTGCGGTAAAAGTGACAGTCAGGTGAGGTACAAGAAGAACCATAAGGAAACCCCTGAACTTTACAGTACAGTTGTGCCAGGGCCCTTTGCAACAGTGCAAGAGACTCCATGCAAGTGCCAGCAGGGAAGAAATGGTTTGGTGATACTCATATCATTTGGCACCATGTCCATACCACACCTGTCTGCCAAGCCTGGGACGTGAGAGATGTGAAAGCATTGAAACTGCATACGTGAATTTAAAGTTACTTTCTGTGGAATCTGCTCATGCCAATGTAGCAATAGTTGTACTTCCCAATAAATTCTGTGCCGGCCAGTCTGACCACTTTCCCACGTTTGTGGCTGAAGGTCATTTATTTATGAAGGCCCTGAGACACTCAATGATCTATTGAGGTCCCTTCCGACCCTAACATCTATGAATCTATGAATAGCATGGACCACTACCAAGAAACAAGCCCTGTCCTCTCACACCCACTCTGCACCTGTCCTCTTTGGCTCCATCTCAGACATCCCAAGATCCCAGTTTAAGGCAGCGTTAAGTATCACGGCCAAAATCTGCAAAAGTAACTGGTGATTCTTGTCACCATGGCTTTCAGGTGCCCAACCATTAACAGGCCTGATTATCTGCAGCCCAGGGCCTGGCGCTTTCTGGACGTCATACCCTTTCAAGGTATCTCAAGTCAGGTTCCTGAAGTCACCGGATACTTTTGAATGTCTTGGCCTAAGGGTGATAGTTAAAAAGGTGCTGTATCAAATACTTCTAAAAAGGATGGATCCCTTGCAATGCCTATGTTGTGGTGCATGCTGAGCTTGGGGGGAACAGAGATGGTCAAGAAAAGATTTCTGAATAAGGTGACTGGTGCCACAGCTCGTTGCGACTATGTTGTCTATTCGTAGTCAGGAAGTTCTAGAAATGAGTGCCTCAGAAAGCAGTCTGGGTTTATCTACGTCACCTCTGCAGGGTGTCCATGCCTACCTACTCCCCCCAGCATGTTCCAAACCAAGGTGGGGAGGCCACTCCAGGACCAACCCAGGGGGCTGCTCTTGAGATTTTGGTCCACACTGCATCTGAGAGCAGGTGCTGTGGACAACCCTGGAGCAGCCTCGCTGTCGCATTTCTGCGTAGGAGGCATGTGGATGGGAGCAGGAGGACAGGGCCTGCTGGAGGTATCCCTGCCAGGACATGCCAGGGACACCAGATAGATATGTCCCTGTGGCATCACTAGATACACGCCATCTATTAAGATGGAAAAGTGAAGAAAGGTTGCCTTCAGCTGTAGGCTTGGAGAAGTGCTGTCTGACTTAACATATAGTGAGGTAGACCTGAAGACTGCGAACATGGAGAACCTTCAGAACCGGCTGTTTGGACCGGAGCTTTTTACTTCTGTTTGGTAAATAGCAGAAATAACAAAGGAATTGCTGATGCTGAGATATGGTCATTGGGTAGTGATGCAGGGATGTTGTCGTAGGCCAGCCAGGCAGGGATGCTGGCTTAGGCCAATCCTAGGCAGCAATCCTTAAAATAACGTGAAGCTGATCCTTGTGCGGAGGACCAGGGCAACACGCATGCATCAGATACATGCTACCCATACCCTTGCTATAGGGCTGATGAGGAACTAAAGGGCTTTCTGCATAGGAGGGGTGTAGGTTGTAGCCGTGTTGGTCTAAACCCTTTGAACCCGAAAGCTTGCTTAAAATTTTTTTCCAACTATTTAAGTTGGTCTAATAAAAAGATATCAGATTCACCCAAAGAACCTTGTCTGCCTTCTGCATAGGAGAAAACTTTATGCACAGTGAACACATCTCCAACATGTTGCTGTCCTTGCTTATGGTAAATGTCTTTTAGGATCACAGGGAGGAGGGTCTCTTTGTAACTGGTTTGCATGGCTTCTCCAGGTGAGCTGGTACTGGAAGTATTTGACGGAGCTGGATCAGCTCTGGATGCTGAAGTGCCTGCGTTTCGGCTGGTACATCAACTTCTCTCCAACCCCGTTTGAGCAGGGAATCTGGAAGAAACACTACATCGAGATGGTGAAGGAGCTTAACATTACACGGCCCAAGGTACGTGTGTCACGCTGGAGACAACTGGGGCTGAATTTTCCTTTGCCATGAACGTGTCTAGGTGGCACTTGCGCAGTTTGAGGTGTCACTGTCACAAAATGAGTCTGCCTTGCCTTGAGTCACAGCCCGAACCATGCTAAGGCATCTACATTTCTTATGCCTCCCAGTTTTTTCCCCTGTGACTAAGTCTGCCCTACTGACTATGCTCAGAAGCAGTTCACTGTCTACTTCCACTGAGGCTAGGTGGTGACTGTTGCTGTGGTTCATCAGCAAATGGAACTAGCAATCATTTGATGCTGTGACTTGCACGACGGTGGTAGCATCTGCATTTTTACTCAGGAGCTCAGTGGTTACAACCCGGAACATGGGAGACCCAGTTCTAGGCCTCTTTTCCCTTGAAGGGAGCTGAACTCTGCCCTCCTGTACAACATGCGAGTGCCCTAACCACCAGCACCCTCCTGCTGAGTCTAGGCCACTGGGCATCCCTGAAGGAAGGAGCCACAGGGGCAGAAAGAGAACAAACGAGAGGCTCTGACCCTACACGGCTGGGGGTGAACACAGGCCTGGCAAGGAAGGAGCGAGTCCTGGTTCCTAACACTGCTTCAGCATTTTGTATTAAATAGCCATTGGAAGAAACTGCATGAAGAGCACTGGGAGCAGAGCAGGCTTTTCACACAATCTCCAAGGACTTGGAATTCCTCCCCAAAGGAGCTGGGCTACATGCCCCAGGGCTGTTTTATTTGAGAAGCCCTCTAGTCCTCGTTAGAGGACTTAATGCAGGAGGGACCTGTGCGTAGGGCCCAAAAGCCCTAACAGGTAGGAGTGTGCGCTTGTGTTTGGAGAGAGGAAGTGGAAGTCTGGTGGACGGGGAGCAGACCTCTGGGTCTCCAGCTTTCCTCTCAAAGAAAGTCCACAGGTGTGCAGAGCTCAGCCCTCTGTCACTGCCCCTCCCCGTGCCTTATGGGACCCCGGACTGGTCTCACTACTGCCCGTCTCTCCTGATATCACACTTCTCTCTTGACACCTCTTCCCCACCCTCCAGCTCACCCATGAGGGCAAAGCAGCCGGTGATGAGTTTCTCTTCAGATCCCCCTGTGCACTGCAGGCCACAGTCCTCTCTCACTTGCCTTGATCCAGCCCACTGAGCCAGATCCTGGCTTAATGCACATGATGACGATGCGATGCTGGAGTGTTTTAATTAGAACGTGAACGAGCACATCTGTAGCAGCCTGAAAGCTCCTGCTTTACTCTAAATTAATCATAAGCAAGGCCCAATAGCATGGGGCAGTAACTGTGTGCTGAGGTTTATTTTTCCCTATCCGTCTCTCCCACCAGACCCCTCCGAAAGATGAATTTGTGGTCATCGATGTCCAGCCAATAGCAAGAGAGGGCCCAGAGGTGAAACTGTCCCTGGCAGCAGTTCTCCAGTCCGCCTCGCTGCTGGGGAAGAGGATGGACAAGGATAAGAAAGAGCTGCCCCCATGGCGCTCATCTGACAAACACCCAACCGACACCATCCGATTCAACTACCTGGACAACTACGACCCGATCGAGCAGGCAAGACTGGCGTAAGGCACTCACTTTCTTTCTCTTTGCCTTTCGTGCCGTGTTGAAACGCGAGCTGGAGGGAGGCTGCTGGGCTGGGCATTTCTGAATCATGCAGCAAGGTACCAGGGGCTTGTTCCAATTCCCTGTGAAAGGAGAAAAAGGCATATAGGGCTGTGACTCGGTGTCTATCCACCCCAAGAAACCTGGATCCAAGCATGAAAAAAACCTGACTAGCATCTGTGGTTACACTGCCCTGGGTAGAGTTACGCAGCCCACCCATCCCCAGGCTTCAGGCGCTACCTGGTCACCGCATGGGGTCAGCAAGCCATTTTCTTCCATAGCATAATATTGCACGGGGAGGGGCATTAGGGAAGGTTTTGTGCTTCCCTGTGACACATCTGGCCTTGACCTTTATTGGAGAAAGAATAATGGACTGGATGGACCCACTGTCAATCTTTGCTGGTGGTTTCTATGAGAAGAGTCTCAAGGGTGCATTGAACCTCCCCTTCTCCATGCCTGCCCCCTCTCCCCCCAAGCCAGGCAAGGGTAAAATTTCCTCATCCACAGGGGCCCCAGAAGAGGCCTGGGAGCCAATTAAGTCCCAGTGACACTCTCCCAGTAGGGCTTAAAGTGAGACTTAAGTGGTTCATTGACCCTGCACTGGCACCAGTGCGAGCTCCCCACCCTCACCTACTATCTCTCTGGGCTCAGGGGTAATTTACTCATAAGGGATCCTTTGATCACAGGTGTGCATGCCAGACGCACAGCTTGTCCTGTGCATTGCAGAAATCCCCCCTCTCCATGCCAAACCTTTTATGAATCATTGTTTTTAATCCACGTCCCCTTGCTTCAAAGCCCTTGCTGCATTCAGCCTTACCCTCTTTCTTCAGCTTGTTTCAAAATGCCGGCCCCAGCTGTCTCTGCAGGACTGACCAGAGACTTTATTAAATTGGTTTATTCGAGATACTTGTCCTTAAAAATGGGCATTATTATTTCTATTACTGATGCCAAATATTTATACTCGGGGAACTTCACTATTAGGGTCAAGACCCTCGTGTGCTGGACTCTACACAAGAATAGGGAGGAGAAAGTCCCTTCTTTGATGGGTTTCCAATCTAAAGATCCAGCCGGACAGCAGTTTGGTTTGCAGCCCACAAATAAATAGAGTGTCCTGACTTGTTCATTACAACAAGCACAGTGAAAATTTTCTTCTCTTCTGGTGCAGGGCTTGAACCTGTAACCACTTGTGCTGCTGAGTATCTAATGTTCTACCAAATCTGGTATTTATCCATAATTACGCAGGATTATGGCAGGGAGAGAAATGAATTCTCAGAGATTTGTTCATTTATCAAGGATCTCCCTTTAATATCACTTAAGCTGAAAGTAATTGCTCCCACCTCTCTCTCCCGGAATGACTCCTCTGGTTGTGCAGTACACGGGCACTGCTGGAGGTGGCTTGCCCTGTTTTGGTGGTTCATCCCCTTGGACGAATAGATCGTTTTCAGAATCCTTTGCTGCAGACTCCTCACCTTTCAGGCCTTGTATCATGGCCAGAGGTGGATCCAGATGTGGTCACACCCCCACTTGGTTGTGCTGCATGTGAGCTCTTAGTGCCAGAGCCCCTGTCTTTCTTTCATGTGGCTCTGGAGCCCAGGGAGTGACTGCTGCCACTGCCACTTGTCCCTTCCTTTCCCCTGAGCAAACAGAAAGCAGGGCTTCTGGCCAGGCACTGCCCCAATCAGCTCATGAATGAAATCTCTTCCTTTCCATGCATGACCTCTCATCTCTTGGTTCCCATTTATCGTTAATATTGTTTCGTAGGTGGACAGGGGGGTGCACAACAAAGGAGCTCACATGCCCAGGCTGCTCAACAGCTACATTGGGAATAGATGAAATCTCCTTGAAGCTAGTGGCTGGAACATCTGCTATCCATTTGGGATGAATATAAGACATAATTAAGCTCCTTTAGAGAATAAGAGAGCTGAAGCAACTGCCCCAAACCAGACCACACACAACCCCAGAATCCAGTTTTACTGTGGGCTGAATACAAGCCCAGAAGGGCTGGGGATTGCTTTGGTGGAGCCATGCTTATGACAAGAGAAGCAGCAGAAAGCCAAGGAGATGGCTGGAACAAGTAGTAGGAGTGTGCCCTGAGAAAAAGCCCAGAAAAGAGAGTGTTTGGGTTTGAGGGCTGGCTGGAAGAGGCACAGCACCACGACCAAGGTGTTTGATTGCTACAGTGTTCAGAGAAGCAGAACATTGTGTAATTCCTCTGTAAGCAGTATCACATCAGAGAAACACCTAACTCCACCCCCAATTTGCCCTCCTAAAGGAAGTGATCCACAAGCCCCCAGGTGCTGGTGAACCGCTCTGGTTGGAACGGTCGGTGGGAGCTCTCCGACCTTGTGTCTGCTTAAGATTCTGCAGAATTGAAGATTTAATATAAAAACAAAAACCATGTTTCCTGCCTTTATGACTAATGAATAAATACATACAAACTGGAACAAAACCCAGTGCACAGCGGTCTCCTTAGACTCCAGATGTTGGAAGAAAGATCTTGAGAGATGGAAACAGCTCCCACAGAGGCTGCTGTAACTCATGGCACTTTACGTAAAGTGCCGTGAGTTAGGGCAGGGGCCTGCACGTCTGTCAGTGCCCGAAGTGGCTGCTTACTGTATCAGCTGGCCACTAGGTGGTAAGTGAGCCAGTCTGCTGTAGGCAAAGGGCTCCCCCGGGATGCTGGGGGCTTGGGGAGTGGACACACAACACCTTCCACAGGGTAATTATCTCATGCATTGAGGTTACTACAAATTTGGGTACCTTTACACAGACCTGGAGTGATTAACTACAGAGGAGAGCTGTGTGTCTTGATCTGCTCCACTTTCACAACCTAATAAAGTCAATGCATTAGTAGGTAGTCAATGTATCACACGTTCATATACCAAATTACCCAGTCTAGCCAAGAAAGAAACTTCTTTCTGATGGTCTTTCTTGCTGTCTGTCTGAAGGGCACAGGTTAGTTCAGTACAACACTGTACATACAAAATCAGAGCAATGTGTGTGACGGAGGGGAGGTTGCCATTGTAGTTGAAAAGCATCACTAGAAAGGTGAGGGGATGCGGGGGTGGGTTTGAAAGACGGAGGTAATAGCACTTTGAGTGCATAATGGAGAGGCCTTGGGGACCTCAGGCTGATGCAGAAGAAAATGCCAAGGGCTGGAGGGAGTGAAGGAAACAAAGAGAACAATAAGATCACAGCAGGAAGAAGCACAGAGGAGAAGAGAGGTAGGCAGGAGTTAAATGACTGGAAGTGTTATCCAAACCCCTCGGTGAAATGATAGTCATGATTTATACCGTTCCATACATTAACTGTGCGATCTATCATCAGCTCGGGCGCTCTTTGATATTCTCTCTATAGTTTGCTTTCCGACTGACTCTTCCAGGTAGCTTTTCTGCTTATGCACAGACAAGAATCGGTAATAGAGAGGATGGATTTCTCTATTCTGGGGCACAAAGCAAAGATGAAATGATACATTTTTATTTGGAACCGAGTCAGCAAACTCTGTGAGATTTCCGGGACTACCTGGGCCTGGGAAAGCAGCCTGTGGAGAACCTTCTCCATCCACTTGCACAGGTCTGCTGGGAGGCATCTGGTGTTGTGCTGCTTGCTGCCAAGACATCAAAAGCACTGTCTCCCATCTTATCACGGATAAGGAATCCTGGTTCCAGCATCAGGTTGAAATCCTGCCACGTCTGCATCCCGTGTACTTTGAGAAGGAGCCCTGCTACTGCTCACGATGGCAGGCCAGCTGGAATGGACTCCGCCTTCCTAGCTCCGGCCTCTGGAAGCCAGCACTAATTCACTTAATTTATGGACCCAGGCAGGCTCCAAAAACAGTTGCATATTGTGCCGGAGCATTTAACCAACAAGAAAATAATTACTTTCAGTAATTGTCCTGTCAGCATCCCAGGCCACGTTCCTTACAGAACAGGGATTGCTTTTGTGTAAAGGGAAATGCATTTCAGTGTTCCTCTAACACCTCACCTCACCCTCTGTCTCTCAGATCTTTCTGCCGCCAGCCCCAAATGCTTACATTTATGACCAATGTTTTCCATAGATTCATAGATGTTAGGGTCGGAAGGGACCTCAATAGATCATCGAGTCCGACCCCCCATGTTGATTTGGGTTGTGACATTTAAACCATTCGTGAGACAAACAGATAGGTTTTGAGTATAAGACTGGGAGCCAGGAAGTCCAGTTCTTCTCCTGGCTCTGAGTCCTCTTCCCTCTCCCGTGTTGGGAAAGACCTTCACCCTCCCTGCTTGAAGTTTCCCAACTGTTGGAGAGGATACCAATGCTTGCGTGTCTCATTGGGATGCCCCGAAGACGTGCTGGACATCGAAAGCAGGTGTTCTGAGGGTTAGTATTCCTAGAGCACTTCGAAGAGGAGCGTTCAAAATGATCGTTACCACAAGCGCTGGGCATGACCAGGCGTCAAGCCCCGATTTCTACATAGATCATTGTATTTTCTAATGATGCATCTCAGATGAATGGGCTCTGGTGGGCTGGAATCAGAACTACTCGCCTGTGTTTCATAGGCCCTACGTTGTTAACAACCAGCAGAGATTCTTCTTTACCTCAAGCATTGGAACAGAAAGGATGTGGTGGTGCTGGGAGCTTAGCAAGACATCCCCAAGGAGGGATGTATTACATGAAGTTTGCCTCTTGGAGGGCTGGGAACCATCTGTAGCCAGGGTGAGGTTTTCCTGAATTTGGTATTTGAAATAGTCTGACGCCTGAGAACTGTTCTTGGTCTACAGGTGGCCTGTGAACAGATCCATGTGAACACCTGATATCTATCCGGTGGTGTTAATTTTGCAGGATGGGTAGGTCACACAAGTTTCTATTCCCCGTTTGGGCGACTGCCACTCGTAGAGTCAGGTTTCTGACATTAATATTTATGATTTTGAATTTAAATATGCTTTCTAGACATGTTATCCAGGAGAGTAGACTCTATGGTGATGGATGTGGTATAAGAACCTGAACCAAATAACAGAAAACCATTGTAAATCTTGCAATTCCTGTGAAAATTCCTGCCTGTGAAACTGTTTGCTAGATTTGTTACACATATTGTCCACAAAAGGGGCATTGGGGAGCCTGAAGCAAATTTGCTGAAGAACCCACAAGAAAGCTTGCAGGAAATTTATATTTGACTGTAATTTTATCCCGAAGCCAGCGTAAGGTTCCATATGGCCACAGGGTTCAGTATTGCAGCTGGGATTTATTGTAAGCGCGCAGAGACATTTGCAGTGGACTGTGTCAATAATCATTCATCTTCCGCAGTGCAGAAGGGTCATGTCCGTCTAGCTGGTTATGTTGGCTTTGGTAAGATTCATAGAAACACAAGCAGAAGATGAACTTGGTTGTAGAAATGACTCGTACGAGAGGCAGGCTAGGTAGGGTGTTATTTGCATCACAGCTTGCCTTGGCTTATGTGAGCGTGTTCTGATGGCTGCAGAGTCAGATGGGTGCACACTTGGAAATCAGTGAACGTCCAGATTAGGCTAATGACGCTTACACTGGTCGGGAACCATTCAAGCTAATGCAGCAGGAGCCAGGTTCAAACCAACTGAAGAGTTTTCACACAGGTGTGTGGCTCAGCTTCATACACAGAGCGGGGATCGCACACGTGTAGTCTGGTGCGGCTTTCGCATAAAACATGCTAGAAAGCAGCTTAGTTTTATGGGCCGGACTCTGCTGCCCTGCCAGGACATTGTGCTCCTGCTTTGCACAGATGTACGTCACTGAGAACCGGCCCTGTGGCATTCAGGTAGCTCCTACGTGAAAAGGGTGTGTGGTAGCAGAGCCGCTTTCCCAAAACACTTTGTGCCGTTTGATAAATGGCCTTTCATTTCACAGAGAGGTGATGTGTATTGGTTTCATACAGATCTGCATTGAACCAGATGAGCTGTATGGAACAGGTCCGCTTGACTCTATCTTACATCTGTCAAATGGACTTGCTCTCCAAAACACTTTCCAGAAGTGAGTACTAGCAACGGGACAGAGCAACCGAGAGCTCCAGACAGGGCGAAGGAGGCTGTTGGGAAGTGGCTGGGATAGCAGTACAGCGGCAAGGGGCAGAAGCCGCACAGAAGAGGGGTCTCACACGAACATAGACAACGCTGTGTGAAGGGACAGGGGGGAGATGGGGGCAGAGGGGAGACAGCAACCTGGGGTCTCGGCTGTCCCTCGCATTAGCTTTGTTTGCCAGGCAGGAATTCCCTTCTCAGTTGTTGGGGATGAACTGCTGATGCTGCTCCTTTCCACTTTGCAGGAGAAAGAAGGGCGGAGGACTCACCCCAGACCTGAGCCGGCAGGCAAGCGAGAAGAAAAAGAAAGCATCCTACAAGCTCCGGAAAGCAAAATCGCTGGCAAGTATCACTGGCCCCTGACTTTGCTAACCATGGTGCTAGGCCAGGGATCATTTGGGTCCAGAGAGCCCAGTGAAGGCTGGGTATCTACGTCGTTGCACAGACAAATCTGATCAGAATTTGACACCTGGAGACTCTCAAAGCCGAGATGTTTCTCCTTGTCAACCTCTGCTTCCAATTCCAGGAGCAGTGCTGTCTAGGCCTGCTGCTAACCTTCAGCTAACAGGCAGTGCAGCTGGATTGAAAGTGGTGCTGCTTTAATTTCTTTGCTCTTTGTATTACTGTAGTGCCTTCTATAACCTTAACTAGACCAGGGACCCCACGTGCTAGGCGCTGTACAAACACACAGGAAATGACAGTCCCTCCTTGAACTGGCTATAGTCAAAGACCTGCGCCTGCTCCAGTGAGACCGCATTGACTGGGCTGGTGAGGGTGAAAGTATAGCAAACACCTTTCCTCCCTTAAAGTCCCGTGCAAGTAGCCTGTGCCTGATTCTCCTCTCATGTCTCCAGTGCAAATCCCGTATTGCCTGCAAGACACGGAAATTGTGCTAGCGCACAGCTGGTGTGCACAGACAGTCCAGCCTCCCCGTGCACAGAAGGCAGCTGCTGGCATAGCCCATGAGTTGGTGTGTGTGTCATGGGGTCTCTACCTGTAGATCCTTACTCTTAAGCTCCTGCCTCTAGCTCAGGAGGTCTCCAGTGTGCCAGGATGGTGGCATCACACAACAGCACTCACTGCTTTGGGTGGGCATGGCCCCATGCCCTAAACAGTGGCCTCCATGTTGTCCTGAGGGGCCTTATTTATACCATGGCAATGGCAGGCAGGGCGCAAACACTCCTTGCCCACCTGCAACCTCAGGCACGCTCCAAACCTGCACATCCTCCTGTCAAGATGTGGGATGTGTCCCCTGGAGACTGCTCTCAAGTCCGTGGCCTTTGGTGCGCTGTACAGCAGTGACTGGGCACGAGCCCCCGTGGAGTCAGCGGGAGTTTCCATGTATGAATCGAGGGCTCCAGGCCTGGTGGCCTCAGGGAGTTTCTTGTTTCTGTTGTTTAGGGGCTCGTACAGTGGTCTGAGGCAATGGACCTATGGAAAAGGGTAGAGGAAAGGGTGGTGCTCTGCGGTAGCTACCCATGCACACACTCTTACCCCAGAGTAAGTGGAGGCCAAACCACGTCAGCTTAGCCGCCGTGGCCTAGCTTCCACTCGCTGTGGGATAAGAGCATGCACACAGAGGTATCCTGGGGCACACGGCAAAGCCCTGCTCCCAATCTGACCCCCCCTTTGTGTAGCTGATAGAAGAGGGAGGCTGCTGGTCACTAGCCTCATGTCTGTGACCAACTAGCCCTGTGTTCCCACAGCCAGGTCTTGGTGCCTCAGTTTCCTCATCTATAACATGGGGATGAATATACCTTCCTCACAGTGTGACACCTAATCCCTCCACTGCAGCGAGTGTGCTATAAATACCCAGGCAGAATTAGCTAATGTTTGTCAAGTGCTGAGCAGTGCTGGGTAAGCATGCAGCTTTCTTCTCAAAGACCCTGGCTAGAACACGTGCAAATTAGACCATTTCTAACACTGAATCCCTTGGGAGTGGTTCACAGCTGCTGGTTGCTCAGGTGTCACTCTCCTTGCTTTACATCCAGCCCTGCCTTCCTCTGAACTTTAACAGAAAGAGCTCCTGGTCCATGGCAAAGCTCTGACCTCAGGGGAACAGGATCGTAATCACCTGTCTGGGGATGCTAAACTCTCACTGTGCTTTTCTGTCCCTTCCCTTCTGACCAGCTCTCCTGGCAATTTGTTCTTTAACAAACATCCAGTCGGTTTCCTTTAAGTCTCTGGCACCTTTCCTCTTGCATTTGTGACTGGCTCTCCATCACTGTCATCTGATGTCACTCTATACTAACTGCCTTATGAAAGAGGAAGCTGCTTGTATTAGCTCATGCTGAAGTTTCATTGTGCTCGCAATCCGTAAAGTAGGGCATCCCCTAATGAAAGCAATCCAAAAAAGTCAGGCTTCCAGAAGGCATCTGGGGATAAGCTTTTGTAGACATGGCAATGAAGAGCTGCTGGAAGAAGGACAGATTCTTTCGTGCGCGCTGGGATTTTTTTTCAAGCTTGGAAAAATGTGATGAGAGGCAGAGAGCCCCTGACAGCTGACCTACAAAGGAGTTTTGCAGGAAGATCACTGAGGCTGAGAGGCGGTTATTATTTTGGGGAAGATTTTCCTAGTCCCTGTTGTATGCCTGCTCCAGGTAGTTGCTATCATTAAGGGTTTTCAGGCTTTGTCGTACAACCCCCGTGCTCTAGGGACTTATAATAGGAGTTTCACCTCAATGGGACGCGCTCATTTTGTTTTTGGAGCCATTACTACATCAGTGCAATGGTGGCCTCATAGATAATCAAAGCAGAGGTTTTGGGGAGAGGTGGCCTTGCACATTTGACTTGAAATGGTGTCTAAGTTTGGGGGAAACAATGGCCTACACTCCTGAGGTCTCCAGCCTGCACTCCAAAATCCGGAAGGTGCAAGTATTTCAGCCCTACCACCAGTGTGAGGATGAAATCCTCCCCAGCTACATCAATGAGGTCTTGAGCAGCATTAGAGCTGTGTGTGTGTGTGTCTGTGTGTGTGTATGTGCATCCTTCGCTTGTCTGGTTGCAATTCAGGGAAACATGAAGCTATTTCCGCAGTTGCCAGTTACCTGCAGCTGAAACAAAACCAGCCCACAATTGTTGGAGGAACTCTGCAGAGGTTGAGGGGGGCTACCAGATGGTAGGCGCAGTTGGTAGCAAAGATAGGGAAGGAGACAAATCTGTAGCTGGGAGGAAGTATCAAGTGGGGTTCCCTGGGGGTCTGTCCTGGGCCTGGTATTGTTCACCATCTACACTAAGAATTTGGACGATGGGATTTGAGTGCATGCTTAGCAAATTTGCAGATGACACCAAGTTGGGTGGAGCTGCAGACACTTTGTAGGGCAGGGCTAGGATCCAGAATGACCTGGATAGACTGGAGAAATGGTCCACAGTCAATCAGATGAGATTTAGCAAGGACTAGTGCAAAGTCCTCATTGGGACAGAATAATTACATGCACAAATACAGATGGGGGAATGACTGGCTAGGCTGCAGTACTGTAGAGAAGGAAACTTTCAAGAGCAGGTTGGACAAACACCTGGATGGGATGGTTTAGTCAGGGATGATCCTGCCTTAAGCCGGGGTCTGGACGAGACGACTTTGTGAGGTCCCTTCCAGCCTTACATCCCTATGATCCTATGAACATATCATATGTAGTGAAGACACTGTAGAAATGTAAGGTGTTGCTGTGCTCTTCATTCAAAGTCAAAATGCATTACATAAACTGGGGTCCTGTTTCAGCCCAGCCTTACGTGTTACCGCTGCGTAGCTCTGTTGAGATCAGTGAAGTCAGGCAGCAGCACACCAGGCCCTGCCAGCCTTATCAGTATACAAAGACTGACAGAGGGATGTACACCGATAGACATCCTAGCGAGGGCAGTGGGGTTACACCAGTGTCACGGACAGGGCTGGAACAAGGTTCTGTCTCTTGCTGGGATGAGTCATTATAGCCGGGGATTTCTCCCCATGCCAGTAGTTTTGTGGGGAACTGGTTGACTGTCTTACACTTTCCAGATCAAAAATGCACTTCATCTGCTCTTGAGTTGTGCGATTTCCCTGCTTTCAGTAATGAAGCTATTCATGCTATTCCAGTCTATAACCCTGCCAGCCCTGTGGATGGCAAAGGTGTGCTTTCCACAGGCCGATGAAACACACAAAATACTGCATGGAGCTATTGAATATCAGAAATAATCTGTTTGCTGTAGTGCTGGGAAAGCCATTAAAAGACTCGCCTTTCAACCAAGCCCATGTAAGAGGCTTAAAACTCACACCTTCAAAATAAATCCTTCAGGAAAGCTGTAGACATGCTGAACAAAAAAACCCCTAAATAAATGCTGCAGGCAACTAAAGGGAAAGGAAAAGGAACACGAAGCTGTTAAAGGCTGGGATTTATGAGGTGAAATCACGGACTGGGAATGAAACCACAGTGCCTCATACTGGGCAATGAGGGTGGGCAAAGGGGTGCTGAATAAGGACCCAGGGGCTGGTGGTCTCTACACGTGAGAATAGACCGGGGTGTCGAACACCTAAAGGAAAGAGGCAAACCATTTCAGAGGGCACGGGAGTTACTAGCACTGCAGCCTCTGGACCAGGTCCAAGTTTAGCCCCTACATTTTCTTTCCAGTAAAGCTGGAGGGCATGGACGCGGAGCAGGCCATGCAGCTGCACTTCCAAAGTCATGGAAACTATGGTGGGAAATAGGAAAAGCCCCCAGTGTGTTTTACACTAAGTTAGCTCAGCTTGGGAGGCCTGGACCTCTGATTAACAGGCCAAATTGCTCCCTCACCTGCAAGTGTGGAGCTCCCATTGTCACGGTGAGAGCCGCAAGCACTTACTGTGTTTGCTGGGAAGTGCCCGGACCCGTCTGCCTGCTTTGCTGGTGGCTGTAGTCCACCCCACGCGCTGCTGCTGCTTATACTTGAGACTCCTGTTTCTGGATGTGGGCTTGCAAAGTCTGTGCACCTGATTCACTGCTTTGCTTCTCCAGTTTCACCCCAAAGTGACACCAGTGGAGTTACGTCAGCATAAAACCAAGATAGCTCAGCAATGCACCAGGCCCTCTATATGTCGGGACTGCACTGACATCATGCCTCTTCCTTTAGGTCTGGATCCAGGAAAGGGATTAAGCAGGTGCTGAACTTCAAGCGTGTGAGTTGTCTCATTGAACCCCAAGGCCCGACCCAGACGTGCAGACACGTGCAGTTTGTGGTGCCGCAGACCTCTCTGTGGTGCCACAAACTGCACCTGTTAAACTGTGCACGGTGCTGCTGACTTGCAGTGCCAGGGCAAAATTTGCTACCTGGATTTCCCGGTAGCAAAAAAAAACCCATGAAGAAAAAGGCGGCGCAAAGCACAGCAAAGTGGC